CGATTGCCTATATGTGAAACACCCGGTAACGGGTGTGTGCATTTAGCGGGTCTTTTCTGCCCGTGCGTGCCCGCTAGGGGGCGCGCGCGAGCAGAAAAAAATTAGATGCTGCAGTGCCGTCCGTCCGTTTTTTTACTACCGGCGGACGGCAAGAGGTTAAGGTAAAATTACCGTAAATTTTTTAAAAAACAAAACTTTCCCCTAATATTAAATTATAAAACATTTATTACCCAATTTTTTGGTACAATGTATGAGTCGGGGTCACGTCGGGTAAAAAGACACCAAACATGACAAGCCGTAACATTGCACACGCGAAACCTCAAAAAACTACAATACTCAAAATTGGCTATAGGTGACAGTTTAAAAGCTTTTACCGCTCATCAGTTTACTGATGGCCCTAAAATGATTGCTCTCACTTTGACGTTCGTGGCGATGTGTAGCGCAATTGTCGTTTTTGCGCGCTGGCGCATCGGACGCACATTTACGTTTATATGTGCGTGGGGATGGGGGATTTTTTTTTTTATATGTGCCTTATTTTTTATTTTTTTACTCTTTGTTTTTTTTACACTTAATGCTATTGCTATCACATAGCAGTCACAACATACAAGCGATCGGCGGCTATGGACTCTATAGGGATCTATTTAAGGTCATGTCTGGGTCAGCTTCCACATCCTGACAGTCCCAAAAAATTACAATCCCAAAAAATTAAAGTGGTCACATGAAAAGAAAACCATTCACTACATCTCCACAATACTTGCACATTTCCATGTGTTCTGTCTTTTTAAAAAGGATGCAAAATGCCCATTGATCTGTCAGCAATCCAATGAGCTCCTGACTTCCTGTAGTGAGCTGATCATGCTGCCTCTGCCGCACCGAAATCCCAAGCATTGATGTCAGCCCTGCTAGACTACAGAACACCCTCCTTTATGCAGATGAGTAGAGGGGTAGGTGTTCTGTAAGGGAAGAAGCTAGCAGATGGAGTGTCTTCACAACCTGCCTAATAAAGTTATTGAGAACAAATTGATCTGCAGCTGTGGGAGGAGATGAGGGGTGGAGTTGCTGGCAGTGTATGGCCTGAGTGGGAAGGATAGAGTGGAGGCAACTGAAGTTAAAAAAAAAAATGTTGTAGTTTGGGATAGAATGGAGACGGATTAGAACATCTGCTGGGTTTTTATTGCTGTCTTTCCCTCTGTTAGGGAGATTCATCCTCTGTATTTGTCCTGGTGACTATCTGTGAAAGTGAAGGAAAATCCCAAACTTTGGGTTATCAACAGAAGAGGAATAGATTGGGAATATTCCAATGAGAACACTCGTTCTGTTGACCCCACTGACCACTAGGGATTTCCCTCACTTTTGAGGGATTTCTTCTCACTTCCTGTTGTGGCTTTTGAATGTTAGTGAAGGGAAATCTTCCCAATGACAGATGGCAAAAAAAAGAAAAGCTGACTGGTTAATAAATCCTTCCTTAGGGCCCAGTCACACCATAAAGAGTGCATTCGGCCTCTGGAACGCAACCCGGCCAGCTCACTTTGTTTTGGGGCGTGGCAGTGCATTGAAGTCAATGGCACAGCAGCCACACCCCCCGCCTGCAGTGTGATCGGTCACCCGAACGTGTTGCATATTAGTGCCTGTGTTCTGGTCCAGTGCGATCTGCAAAAAATAGTGCATGCAGCATCTTTGCAGATCGCACTGGACCGGAACGTAGGCACTAATGTGCCGGCGATCGCACTGCGCACGGTGGCCGTGACTTCGGTGCCATTGACTTCAATGCACCGCCCCAAAACAAAGTGAGCCGGCCGGGTTGCGTTCCAGAGGCCGAACGCACTGGAACACACCGTTATGGTGTGACTGGGCCCTTACTCTATCCAAAACTGAAAAACAAAAGTGTTGGCTTCAGTTCTACTTTAAGGACACTGATGAGCTGCTCTGGGTAACATGACACGTTCAGTTAGTACTGTACACCTTTCATACATCTTAGCCTTTATGTACTGTATGTATTTAGTTATTCAGCCTCTCCCAACCAGAGTGGCTTTTGCCTTTCTCCGGAGTGCCTCGAAATTTTCACACAGTATCACGTTTTGAAGTGAAGGGGAGCTCTGATGAGAAGAGGGTTCTTGAGGTGAAGGAGGGGCTCCTAATGTATATGGGTAGGCTCCTCATGTAAAGCGTGATTCTGATGTGAATGGGGGGACCCCATTTCTTTTGTGTGGGCCCCACTTAAAATCTATACAAGGCCCCTATATGGGATAAGGGTCTGGTATGACATTTGGGAAGGTCCAGACTTCCTTTTCCTTCCTTCCCTTCCTTGAGGGGGTGGGGTCCCCCCTTAAAATCTACGCTAGACCCCTGTATGGGATAAGTGTCTGCTATAAAATTTGGTAAGAGATAAACTTCCGTTCATACATTTACATTTTAGACTGGGGTGCCTCGAGATGTCCAATACTTTTAAAGGATGCCATGACTGACAACCGGTTGAGATGCTCTAATTTAGTAATGCTTACAAAGGAAACATTTTGATAAATACTGTTTTTAATGAGGAAATGGAACAGAGCACATGATTCTGAGGAAGGGGCGTGTGCCCCTGAAACTCATAAATCTAGCTTACTGCAGCTGGTGGACGGTGATGTGACTGGAGGCAGCTGTGATACGGAGTCGGGGTGGATTTTCCTGTGCTACCGACATTGTGGCTTTTGATGAGCGTGACAAAACTTTGTGAGTACATATACCCTTTTTTTTAATCCATTTTAATACAACATTTTACACACAGGTGGCACTCTGTTTTTCTATTTTCTATGTACATGATGGGAACCCCAGAACCTTTAAATGAGCAGCCCCTCAAGATTGTGTGAAGTATCTAAACAACCATTAGCGCCAAGAGCAACAAAAACTTTTTCTGTTTTTATGAAGGCCCTGTACTGTGCAAGCTGTGCTACAAATGGCAAGCACAGAGCAAGGGACTATTTACCAGTATTGCCTGTAGGCTCCTTGCAGCACATCTTTTACCCAATACTGACTGACCATGTTGTTTGCACTGTGTCCCTGTGTGGAAACAGCCATCTTGTTAGAGTCCCATTGCTTTGCTTCTTCATGTCATTGCTGCCTGTGCAATAACTAGTGGGGGAATGACGAAAAAGCAGCAGCATAGGAGGAGAAAGAAGAAGCAGGGAAATGCTGCAGGTCCTCGGGTACAGCTTCTTTTCCAGCAATGAGAACAGTGAGCAGCACAATACCGAGTTTACCAAATCTTTTGAGACTAGCAGTCACAGGCAGCAGTGTCTGCAGATATGCAGCCATGGGGCTGTAGGCACAATAAGTGCAATTTTTCTGGAGAATTTCTAAACAAAAGGTACATTTATCAGAGTGCTTCTCAGGCACAATTGACATTTCTTGATGTCACCTATTAAAAAAAAAAAAAGCAAACCTGAACTGTTTCATGTGTATCTACACTTTCAGCCAAATTGTGATAACACCTATTTTATATTTGTTATACGTTACCATTCACATAGCACAAGC